TTTGTCAATTCCTGTCAATTGCTTTTGGAAACCATCCAGTTTATTATTGATGTTAGACATCTGATCCAGCAGAGGGTGCAACGCCACTGCCAACATAATAGGGAAATCAGTGGCTGCTTCCGGCATACGAGTAGGAGTTGCTGACTGAGTAGTTCCTGCCGAGGGTTTCTTCTCCAGTGCCATTTTTCTCCCTCTTCCCGACATTGTTTACACAAGATAAAGTCCATTTAAGTCAAAGTGAAAGTTGTTCCATTTGAATACGCTTTGGACTATTTTGGACCTTTTAATCTTATTTAAAGTCTCTCACGGTCAGTATCATTTTTTCCTTCAGGTTATTGCTTAAGAACCGCCAAGTTTCATGGGGGGGGGATCCCCAACTCCTCCCCACCCACTATTCAGTCCCGTAGGTTAATTCTGTTCTCTTTGATGGCTCAACAGCTTAAAGGGGATTCACTTAACTTACAGTTTGTGGCATTTAAAATGTAGCAAGAACATGTTTACGCTGGATCACTTTCCTGCTTCATCCGGCAGTCATCTCTAATTACCATGATGGTTTCGTGGCAGCAGGACCTTTCGGGGTAAGGGGAGCCTCAATTCCTTGGCTGTCACCTTGGAAGAGGCACTGGGTTGTGGGATATTATTGAAGGTTCATTCCAGAGTTCAGTTCTATTGCTGCTGCATTGTGTGAACATGCCAAGAAGACGTAACCTGAGCCAGTTTGGTGTAGTGGTTACGAGTGGCGGACTCTAATCTAGAGAACCAGGTTTGATTCCCCACTCCTCCACATACAGCCAGCTGGGTGACCTTGGGTCAGTCACAGTTCTCTCAGAGCTGTTCCCTCAAGAGCAGTTCTCTCAGAACTCTCTCAGCCCCACCTACCTCACAGGATGTCTGTTGTGGGGAGAGGAAGGAAAGGAGATTGTAAGCCACTCTGAGACTCCAAGTGAAGGGCATGGTATAAATCCCCCTCCTCCTTCTTCTGTAAAATAGATTATAGAATGCCAAACTGGCTTTGAGCACCTCAAACAGATATTGATTACATACAGAGCCAGTCTTGAAGACTTCTGACTTTATGAAGCCCTTATATATATATATATACTGATGCTTCCAGTACTGGGATGGGGGCCATGCTAAACCAGATTATTTTAGTAGGAAATTAGTGGAGAGAGATCAACACCTCTCCCACCATAGAAGAAGAATGTTTGGCAATAGTGTGGGCCTTGGGGAAGCTAAAACCATACATTTGGGGGAGGAAATTCATGCGTACCAACCCTTCCCTGTTATGGGAAATAGCTCCTAAAAGACAGGGGTGATCCCTAGCCAGTGAATAAGGAAGGAAACTGGAACTTGTGTGAATGTCCGTGTCTTCACCAACTTTAATGTCTGTAAGACCAAGAAGCTTATGCTTGTTCATGTAACCAGAGACTGCCAAGAAATATCTCTCCTCAAGTTTTAAAGACCTGTCTAAATATCAGAAAGAGGTGATTGTGACAGATTATCTAGTGTTTATTTTTATACAGAGTTAGCTCATTCATGTTGCCTGTTCACCTTGTAAATTCTAAACCTGATTCCTACCTGACCACTTCCCCTCAATGTGAAATAAAACACGTTGTTAGCTTTGATTTACTACCAGCCTCTTGTGTGCCAGTATAAAACAAGAACAAAAGAAGGATTTTAGTCTCTCCCTCTCAGTTACCAGTATATGTTCAAATAACTGGGTGGGACAGCCAGAGAAAAACAAAGAAGAAAGAAAAGGAGGCTACTCAGCTAAGAACAATACAAAGGGAAATTTTGTGAGGGAGGGTGACATCATCATAGGGACACAATCCTGTATGAAGTTCTTCTGTGTAAACTTCATTAAAAAGAATTGGGAGCTCTGCACAGTATGCTAGTGACCTGGAGTGGGATAAATTTCCAGAAAACAGTACTCTGTTTTTCATACTTCATACTTCCAGGAACATGCTGGGCCATTTAAGCCACGTGGTTCTGCTTAAATCCATGATTTGGTGTTATGGTTGGTTATTTTTTGTTCTGTCTCCCTTCTTTCTGTCCCTGTATGATAGAGACTATGCCACTTTCACAGAGATATCCCTTGGTTTCACTTTGTTCTCAGAATTCAGCTTGTGACCCGGAGAGTCTGTGCAAATCCATCCCTTAGACAAACCATGTAGCATATGATAACTCAGAAAACCAAGCCATAACCAAGCCTGTAAAAATCTATCCAATTTTCATCCCGACTGGATATCTACCCCTATCCTTTATTGCAATCCTGCTTGAGCCATTGTTCGTTTTGGGTATATCATCATCATCATCATCATCATCCACATGCACAATTGTGGATTATTCACTAACTGTGAATGCAGGAAACAAAATTTGGCAGTACTGTATGTGGCCTTACTGCTTCTAAGGCTGTTACTATCTGAAGCAGCAGGTGGATGTAGTAGATGAACAGGGGGGTAGAAGAAAACAACATATAATCCCTTGAAATTCTTTCAAGGCAGCTGCACAAACATTGTTGATGTACTTATGGCAGACAACTAATAACAGGAATGTTTGTGACTCACTTTTTGCCAGCATTCTTTTGTATGCAAATTTGCTTGAAAAGCATGGGAATGGGAATGAAGGAAATTATGAATTGGGGCCTTGGTTTGTGTGTGTGATTTAGTAATGTCTTTATTGCTACAAAATGGCTGTAATGATCACATACCCACAGTTGGACTAATACTTTGATATAGACTTTGACAGCACTGCATTATTGCCAAATTTAATCTTTATCACACTGTCAGCAAAACTACTCTAGTTGTATGGCTAGTTAACATGAATAAAACAATTATTTTTCTCTGAATGGTAGTCTTTCCAACTAGGGGTGTGTGCTCAGTATATACCAAGCCGAATAAATACCCCCAAAAAACTCAGTTAGTGAATTATTGGTATTTGGGAAGTATTTAGCCCCACCTGAATAAAAGCCGATATTATTCAGCTTTTATTCGGGTGCTGCTTGAAGGCATTTAAAGAGACCTTACAATAGCACTACAGGTAATAAGATTTTTCTTCTCACCTTGACACAGAGAGTACTCCATCTTTCTGTGTTATACCTCTGAGGATGCCAGCCACAGCTGCTGGCAAAACGTCAGGTCCTACAATGCCAAGACCACAGCCATACAGCCCTGAAAATCTTCTTCTTCTACTACTACTACTACTACTACTACTACTACTACTACTACTACTTATTATTATTATTATTATTATTATTATTATTATTATTATCTTTCTGAATCGCCTCATCCCTGAGTACACAGAGCTCTGGGCGATTTACAACAGTTTAAAAACATACAAATACAATTTAAAATCGACAGATCAATTAATCCTAATTGCACAATCTGCAGATGGCATCTGTACTTTAGTCTAAAACCCACTCTGGACTCTTCTTCCGAAGTAGGCAAGATGGAAAAAAGAAGAAGAGGGTGCCAGCTATTATGGAAAACCATTGCTGTCCTCAAGCAAAAGCCTGGTGGAAGATCTCTGCCTTTCAGGCCCTCCAGAATGCATTAAGTCCTGCAGGGCCCTGATGGAAGTTGGCAGAGAGTTCCACCAGCTTCTCTGGTTGAGAACAGCTGGATATAATACATTTTTCCTGAGTACTGGTCTGCAGATATGTTCTGAGAATCTGTTCCTCCCAGGTGTATGCAGATGAAATTTGGATTGTGGCCAGAACTCAAGGAGAAAGGGTGCTTAAGCCTCCCTTTGTACCATTGTCCTGTCTGTTAAGCCCCAAGAGGGCATTATTTGCTCATTGGAGGGGTACCATGTGTGTTGATAGGATACATGTAGGTTTCCTCAACAGGAGAAACAGAGCTTCCCCGGGGCTGTCAGGTCAGGGGAATGATATCATTGGGAGGTTTAAGTCCTTTTCCCCTGCTTTGTATATCCTGTTCCAAATTGGGCCCATGCACATTGTGGAGGCATGGACTCTTGGAACACATTTGCTGACCTCACATGGAATGTACCGAGAAAAAATGTATTGTGTACTTAGGCCCTGAGGCAACTATGTTATTTTACAACTGATTTGATTGGTACTAAAGCTGTTGTACAAATATTCTTATCATATATTGAAAGTGCTTTCTGAAATGTATAAGTGGCGGAGCTCCTGCCTGCATAAAACTACACATTTAAGTTGCTCAATAACTTTCCTGTATGGTGTCAATTTAATATGTCCTTGTACTATGGGCTGCTCTTGCTGCATTTGCTTAAAGCTTCCGTCTTGATGAAGTAAAAGTGAAGTCAGTACAATGTGACTTCAGTATGACTAAGCAGACAGTTGTAAATAAATTGTAAACACACAGAATTCGTGTGTATGCATCTAAAAATGCATGCTGAAAGCTAGGGTTCTCTAGAAACATCTTACACATTTAATCTGAGAAGAAAATAAAAGCTATTAAATACAGACAATCTGCGCATCTTAATTGATGATGTTACTTACTTTAAAATATTTGTTCTGCCTACAGGCATGGAACCCGTTGTGCTGGAGAAGTGGCAGCTACTGCAAACAATTCACACTGTATAGTAGGAATTGCATTTAATGCCAAAATTGGGGGTAAGTATTTTTGATTACTTTGTATCATTGAAATAATAACTTGATTTTTGTTGCTACATATTAATATCTGAAAGTATTCAAAATATTGTTTATGATTTTATGGTAGTGTTTTTCCTTGTAAGATGCCTCAAGTAGAACTCTGGAGAGGCAGCGTATATAATTCTCTAAATAAATAAAGGCTTTTGATAGAGAAATATCTGTGACATACAGTGACTATATAGTAATGTAATGATGACATATAATGATGTAGTGATAATCTGCATTATTATTCGCCCATTCTAGGTCCCGTCCACACGAGGTGATTTGGGCCAGTTGCGGGACAGTTCGGGGGCGGATCAAACCAGCACAATCACACCATAACATCTGGGAAGCATGGTGCTTCCATCCCCGAACTGGCCCTTCCCCACTCAAATCCGCTTCAAGTTGAAACCACCTACCTTGGTGGTTCAACTTGAAGCCGCGCTTCAGGCCGGGTGTTTGATCGCCGGCGCCTCCTTGCACCGGCACAACCCCGGCCCGGAGCCGAACTGCGCATGCTCCGACATGCGCAGTTCGGCCGGCTCCCGATTAGGGCCGTGTTTTCTCCCCGGCGTTTGATCGCGCCAGGGAGAAAAGGCGCCGCGGCCAGGGGATCCGTGGGATCCCACCGCGGCGTCTCAACGTTGGCGTGGCTTTTAAAAGCCGCGCCTTAAGAGGCTTTTCCCCTGCCGTGTGGCAGGGGCCCTAAATAGCTAAATTTCATGTCTGGCTAAAACTTATATTTATATGAGTATAAAATGGTTATTAAGCAAACTCCAGAGTATGACAGAAGACTGGAGGACCTGGTGTGATGTGGTTCATGGGGCCGTGAAGAGTCGGACTCAACTGTGCGACTGAACAACAAAATGGTTTTAAGTATAGATATAAGTTGGAAAATTTGTCTGTTTTAGCCATTGCAGTGATCCACTTTAAAACACTATTGCATATTCCTATATTAACTTTGATGCCTTAGTAAGAAATGTTAAATTGTCTTCTTCAAATCCTGTATAGCCAAAGCTTTCATATTGTGACCAGTGCTCTCTCTAAGCTGTTGAGTCTTGTGAGTAACAATTCTACTTTGTGAGCTACTGACATTAAAGCTGTGAGTGAGTGATTTGGCTACTGCATCAATTAGTTTGCTCTGGAGCCATCCTTCCTGAGCTAAGAAAAAAATGTGTGAGCCGGAGGCTAAAAAACTGAGCTAGCTCACACTAACTCAGCTTAGAGGAAACATTGTAACTTTTTGGCATGGTATTCTTTTTTTAATTTTTAATTTTTTATTACTACAAACACTAAAAAAGAGAGGGGTAATAAAGGGTGAACACTAAGACCAGGGGTCTTTCCATAGAAAAAGAGCGGCAGGAGCTCATTAGCATAAGGTATGCTAATTTTGGCCTCATGGTGGCAGGACCTATTGGAGTAAAGAAGTGCTTCAATTCCTTGGCCGTCACTTTGGAAGAGGCACCCCTTGCACCCCAGGCTGGGAGGCCCCTGCAAAGGCTCCGGGGGGCTCAGAGTCATCCAAATCCCCTCCTGCCCACCACGATTTGGGGCACTCCCATTGGAGCTTGATGGAGCGCACCCAACCAGGGAGTTGCCGAAACCAGAAGCTGGCTTGGTATTCTAATGGGTGTGACTCATGCAGTTTTTCAGTGGTTGAAATATCAAACATATGTTTCTTCTCTTAGGGACCTTAAATGTCTGAGGCTTATGTAAATTCACATATAGATTCTATAAACATGACACATTTAGACATTAGAAATATGGAAGTAAGTTCAGTGTTCTTCAGTGTAGCTTACTTCCAGTAAAGTGCCCTTAGGATTGCAGCTTCATTGGCTATGGCTCCAACATGTCACATATATACTATGTACATAAAAGTGTTTTGCAAATAGTTTGCATATGTATCCACACAGATATTTGTACAGTTTCACCCTTTTTAAAAGGGTGGCAATAAAATTTAGAATTAAATTAAAGGTGATAATGTAAACTAGGAAAAATGTTCGCTGAAGCATTAACAGTGATGTACTATGTTAAATAATGTGGCAGAAATTTCCTGGTAACAAATACCATTCAATAATAATATAAGGTGTAGACATTAGAGACCTCCTTGCAAACTTGCATAAAGTAGAAAAATTGGCCATGTGCAGTTGCTGCTGTCAGAAAAGACTGTGGTGGGAAAAGCTCAAGCTCATCCCTCCATATCACAACAAAATGTTTGTCTATAAAATACATATCAAAGTCTGATCTCCACCCTTTGACCTCTATGCATTTAGGCTACCATGCAATTGCAGGCATCAGAGGGAGGCCATGCCTGATAGGGTGGTATGAACTTGAGTGATTCTGAGCTACACTGCATTTTTATACAGGAGTCTGCCTTGAATGGGAAACAATTTTTTTGAATTATGGTAAAACAGATGTAGACCATCTGTCACCATAATTACAGAAGAATTCTCCCTCAGAAGTAAGTGAGGCTAACATGTCAGCGTACCTGGTTGCCACCAAAATTAGCAGCTCCACATCTCCTCCCCTCCTATCTCCCCTCTTCTTTTCACCATGTAACATCCTTATTACTGGTGTAACTTGCTGAACTTATAGTAATTCCAGAGAGGCAGCCATGTTACAGTTCGATTCTATGCAGTTTGCATGGACTTTGACTTTAATGGCATAGAATCTTGAACAAAGCTGATCTTAGAACTTGCTTTTTCATTTTCAAATCTGCAGACATGTATTTCTTTTCTGTTTCAGCGTGGTTCTCTGATCCCAATGCTGAGAATGTTTTTGTTTGTTTGCCAACCTCCAGGTGGTAAACACAGAAAACACCGTGTTGAAATAATAAACACAATATTCACATGCACTTATACCTAAATATATTTGATTTATATATACAACATCAACTCTAGTGTATTGTAAACACTTTCAAACTACAACATCAACATTTCAAACACTTTCAAACTAAATTATATAACACGAAGAGTCCTTAATCGCAGAAACCCACTCCAGTATTAACTGTCTTGCTTGCTAGCTGAATCACCTCATGGGAAAATACATCTACTAGGCTTGCTTGCTAAGCTGAATCATCACAGTGAGAAATACAAGCTGCCTGCTAGCTTTACCTGATGGATCATCACTTGGGAAATGTACAATAGGTTGCTGCATTGTTCAGTGCAAATAACTGTACATTGGTATCTATCCTCCATCAGGAAGAAGACGGTTTATACTGGAGTGGGATTCTGCGATTATGGACTCTTCGTGTTATATAATTTAGTTTGAAAGTGTTTGAAATGTTGATGTTGTAGTTTGAAAGTGTTTACAGTACACTAAAGTTGATGCTGTGTACATAAATCAAATATATTTAGCTATAAGTGCATGTGAATATTGTGTTTATTATTTCAACACGGTGTTTTCTGTGTTTATCTAACTTAGCCGTGTTCCCTGTGTGCTTGTTGTTGAACCTCCAGGTGGGGCCTGGAGATCTCCTGGAATTACAGCTGATCTCCAGCCAACAGAGATCAGTTCTCCTGGAGAAATGGCTACTCTGGAGGGTGAAATGTATGGCATTATACCCCAGTGAGCACCCTTCCTTCTCCAAACCCTGCCATACCCAGGCTCTACCCCCAAAATCTCTAGGAATATCCCAGTCCAAAGCTGGCAACCTTAGTTTATGGATATATGGCTTCATGCCCAAAATAAATCCAAGAAAAAGCAGTTTGAAACAAGTATTCTTTGGGAAAGTGTCATTTTATGCTCAGAGGTGTCTCATATTATATCTCCAGTGAAATGAATTAAATAGTTTAATAAAGTTATGTGAAGTTCACATAACTGGGCCTATATAAGGTAGCCCTACCCCTAAATCTCTAAGATTTGGGTTGCAATGAGACTATCTTATCTTTTCTAAAAACACTTTGGTAAGAATCTTAGAAATACTTTTATCTTTTAAATTTGAGGTAGGATAAGGGACGATGTATTATTTCTAATTTCATTGACATATGTTAGTTTTTCTTGTATCATTGTGATTCTTTAATTATTTTGAGAATCATTAGATTGATTTTAAATAAAGATCTTAAAAGATAATATTGGTTGCGGTCACACACACTAAATAAGCAACTTTCAATCCACTTTCAGTGCACTTTCCAACTGGATTTTTACTGTGTGAACCGGCAAAATCCAGTTGAAAAGTCGGAAGTGTATTATTTATTGTGTGTGACTGCAGCCATTGAGTGTTTTTCGGCTTGATACAAGGTTTTCACTTGACACGTGGAATAAATAAACTTCTGACCTTTCTTCATTCTTTATCTTTATATGACTACCTTTATTGACATCACAACAAAACAAAACAACATACACCAACAAGGGATAAAAGCAGGGGTCATTTCCAACCTGAGCGCACCGGAGCGATGCTCCAGCAGGAGCCCTGCAAGCAGCAGCCGGCCAGGGTGCCCGCTGGCTTGGCTGCCTGCTGTAGCTCCCACTGCCGCCCTGCTGCAAACTTACACAGCCCAGTTTTTAGCTTGCTGCTCCTCTTGCTGCTGCTGCCGCTCACTGCACCTCCCTAGCCAGGCTGCTGCTTCTCGCCTTCCCCTTCTCTGGCCAGCTCAAACTTGAGATTCATGAAGGGAAGGCGGGGAAGAGGAGGAGGAGGAGAAGGTAGAGGTGGACACACCTGCTAAAGAGGGAGAGGGCACACTGGGCGGCTCTCTCATGGCTGGGTGAGCTCTCTCACTTCCTCTCTCTTGGCCACCCGCCGCCCTGTGCCAGCTGCATGCAGGGTGGGTAGCTGGGGTTTAAACAGTGAGCGCAGTGCCTAGTCCAGAGCCTGGGCAAGGAGGAACGAGGTGCTCTTCCTGTGGCTGGTGTGCATCAGAGCTGGGCAGAAGGTGATTAAGCCCTGGCAAAAGGCAGCGGCTGGATCCCATTTCCAAACTGCGGGGGGGGGGAAGGAGTGAGTGGAGAGAGAGAGAGAAAGAGAGAGACGCGCTTTCAGA